TTTCGTTTATGAGACAACCTGACGTTTGGCGGTTACTTTGGAATTTGTTTGGCCCCTGTACACGTGGGCTGGCCTTCGGGCTACGCTCAGACCTCATTTCTCCAGTTGTCTTCGGAATACATGTATTCAACCTCACTTATGCCTTCTACTACTCTATGGGAAGTCTCGGGACGCTACAGACAGTTCCCACAGGGCTGGCCTTTAGGTCATGCCCAGGCCAATTTGTACTGTCGTCTTCAGAATGGGTGTACTCAGCTGCATTTACTGACTTCCCATATCTGCTAAGTAGTCTCAGAACGCTATAGACATGAGCAAGGTACTATATGTCATTTATCATTTTTTACGGCTAAGTAGGTTTCGATTTTGGACTAATATGCTATTTGATTTACATTTGTCTTAAATTGCTATCCTTATAATCTTGCCTTCTTTCTCAATAGGCAACCTTTGTATTAAATGAGAGTGCAAAGTACTGGATTTTTTGACGGAATTTCATGTCAAAATAAATTTTTTTACCTTTTTTCGTATTTCGAAAGCCTTAGATTGAAACGAGACCCCTCTGCTTCTAATTGGCCTGAATTGTGCTAAGTGACTCCTCCCTTTTTACTGCGTACTTCCTCCAATTTATGCCGTCGGATGCATGCGCCCCTTTCACGAAATTGCAGTCAGAGAAAGCTGGCATTATTATCAAGCACCTTGAAAGTGGTTATGATCTACAGTGTCTTAAGTTCTGGTCCCTATCACGCTATGGTCTCGTAAATGATGCTGTAAGGCGTAAAGTGTGGCCCATTCTATCGGGACTCGAAGGATCAAACTCCGAAAACCCGCATAGTAATGCTTTGTATGGTTATTTTTTGGAATTCGAATTTCTAGTCACGAATCTGTACCTGTTTCATATCTATTATCTTGGATACGTAGCTTTGAATCTTCGAAAAGAGTTCATCTCACCTCTCTGTAGACCTATGGCAACTTTGGATACTATTTTTGCAGTCAAAACTTGGTACACTTTGATTTTGACTGTCATGTTATTTGTAACTCCTCCTGAATCGTATATTTTGCTATTTTATAGGTTCCTATTTATTGGGCGTAGGTAATGGCATACATTCCATTGAAAACTGTTCTCAGACATTTTCTAGTTTAGATTCGACTTTGAAAATTTTTTGTTAAATTTTCGTACTATGTGCATAGACCTACGGGATCTGTTGAGCCATCCTCAGGCAAAACAAGTTGAACTGGATGTACGCAGAATGGGGTCTATGATTCCAAAATGTTTGTCATCAGACGAAAGTGAACGCTTAATTACAGAGACCAAACGTCTTGCTTTGTCTATTCTTGCTGAATACCCTGACCTTCATTATTATCAGGTATGGCGTCAATTTTATGAAAATTTAAGCTTTATACTCAGGGGTTTCATGACGTTTGTTACACGTGTCTGGCGGTTCTCGGTCCGGATGAAGCTTTTGCCGTTCTTAAACAGCTAGTCCCTAAACATTTTGACGTGTTTATGCAGGAGACCATGGATGCTACCTCCGAAACCCTTCAGTCAGTTTTTGATCTCCTTCAGCTTACATCACCGGAGATTTGGTTCAGGTTTCGGGCCTTGAATTTTGAGCCCTTTTTCACTCTTTCATGGTTTCTCACTTGGTTCACCCACATCCTTTCGGATAGCAATGATATTCATCGGTTGTATGATCTCTTCATGGCTTCGGAGCCTAGCATGCTGATCTACCTCTCTGTTTCGGTAAGCTTTTGATTTGCATCACAAAATCCCTCCGATTAAGCCTTGTTTCAGTAGGAGTGTCAGATTTTAGAACACTACGGTCTACTCAAACTTGATCTTAGTTCTGCTTGTTTGCCCACCCAATTGCATATCATACTTAACACTAGATTTCGTGGTTGAGATTATCATTCTTTGTAGGTGATAATTTGCAGCACAGAGGAAATAAGTTCAACTTCCGATGATTTTGGAGAACTTCATCATGCACTTACTCATCTTCCAATGAAGCATGATGTCGAAAAATTGATCCAATGTGCGCTTGACATTTACTTAAAAATACGACCGGAGAAGCTGCTCGAAAAGGCCGAAGATCGACGTAAAGCTGGCCATACTGCCAGGAAATCTTCACGCTCCTCCCCAACTTTAGTTCTTGTTAATCAGCGGCTGTTTTTCTGTGGAGCGGTCGCAGTTCTAACTATGGGTCTGGTTTGGCATCACTTTTTTAGTCCAACAACTTAGCAATCTTCTGTGCTTTCTTGTTCTTTTCTTACAGAGTATGTAATAAAGGTAGTTTTTTAAGCCAAACTTTTGTGCTCTGTGCTTGTTTATAATCATTTTCATCTCACACTTCTACGCAGTCATCACACCACCAAAATCATGGAACTAATTTTGTAGAAAATGCGAGCATACGCGTACATATTGGCTG